AAAAAAAAAAAAAAAAAAACCAATAAATTGGCTTAACTTAGTAATTTTGTTGATTTAATTTTTTTTTTTGGTTTTTTTTTTTTTTTTAAAAAAAAAAAAATTTTTTTAAAAAAAAAAAAAAAACAAACACAACACGTCTCTCCGCGGTGTTATTTTTTTTTCCCTCTTATTTATTTTGTCTAGAAGCTGTTTTGTGAAAGCTCCGAAAAGCAGCTTTTTTTTTTTTGTTTGTTTTTAATTTGTCACACAGATGCTCTTTATTTATGTAATTTAAAATGTGCAGTTGTGTTCAGCGAGGAAAGAGCCTATTTTTCTCAAATGCTACTAATTTTATATGAGATTTGAAGAAAATCTGGGGTATTTATACTGCATTTTTGTATAAGATGTATAAACTTTTTAACAGGGAAAGATGACTTTTTTTTTTTTTTTGGATGTAAATGAAAAATAAAACTTTTTTTTTTAAACGTGACGTCTCTTGTCTTCGTAGCATCGATAATTTCAGCTTCCTGAACGGGAATTAACACATTTGAGGTGAAATATTTGTCTTTTGAGGATTGTCATACCAGGATTTCGGGGGGAGATCTGCAGTGGGGATGTTTTTAAGTGCAGATACTCAGATTTTCTTTAGCAGATGAACCTGTACATTCTAAATAAAGAACCTCCATAGTACATGGACATATTCAGTGTAGCCTGAAGGTAAAAGGGCAGTCCCAAAAAAGGGAAAACTATTAACACACTTGTTTCTTGGATAACACTCCATAGTAGTCCTTATTTTGTTTCCAGTTACTTGATTAAATTAGAATTTTAATGCTTTTAATAGGTCAGCAAAACACTTCTTCAAGGTCTATGATTTTCTAGTTGAGAGCCATCAACAGTTTTGTGGTTGACAAGATCTTTTTCCCCCTGTCTTTAGTGACCTTAAGGCTACTGCTTGAGCTGTTGTGGGTTTTTTTCCCATTAAATATGGAATACTATAAAGTGAGAACATTCTCAAATCCACTTTGAGACAAAAAATAGTGATCACAGGTAGTGAGAGCGCTGTAACTCTTCATTCCCATGTAACTACTCACTCGAGGCTCCTGCAGCCATTAAGGAGTGGAATAATGAGCCAGGGTTTGGAATTCCAACCCAATTACAAAGGATAACTCATGATAACTTGGCTAGAAAGCCCTTTAAGGTTCTGCTTATTTTTTAATCTAGAAAAATATCCACTCCTGCCACACTGTGAAACCGTTTTCTCTATGACTCTGATGTAACTTTTGTCCTAAAAAATGAATTATCAAACAACTCCATACACAGGTTGAAAGAGTTTTGGGTGTCCCAGCAAATCAAATGTTGAGGGGGCTTCAATCAACCCCCACAAGGGGATCTTTTTATGCTGGTTTGGATGAGGAATTACCCACCTGAAACATTCCTCCCTCAGTCCCTCCTTTATCCTCCCCCACCCACGTGATGGTTTGGGGTTTGAGGCCGTTTGGTTTTTGGGGAGGTTGGTGCTTTCTCCAAGCTGATCTCCCCAGAGGAGCTCCTAGAATTAGAGTCACAAACTGGCATTAACACCTTTATTTCCCTGCACTCGGTGCCTAAAAATTCCCAAATACAAGACAGTTTGTTTGTAATTCCTGCTGGTTCTTATTTATTTGGGAACACCTGACTCAGGTGCTGTGGGAACTCTCATGGCACTGTTACTGTGCTTTTAATTAGACTGTCACCTCACTGCAGAAAAAGAGGAAAACCAGTTCAGGGCTAATATATGGAAATATTATTTATCAACAATTAAGCTAAAAAGACATTAAAAAAAATCAAGTTTGGTAGAGGAGCATCCTACTTTCTTAGCATATTACTCGACTTCAAGGAGTCTTTGGAGTGGGAGAGTTTCACTGTCCAACGTGCCCTCGTGACTTAAGTCTTAGTAGTTTTAGGAAATAATAATTAAGGTTTGCTTGTCATTTGGTTTCCCACATTCAGCAGAACTTGGGCAGCACCAAAGAACAAGAAAACTAAATCATCCAGATCTGACTCTGGTGGTTAAGGCTGAATTTTGTATCAGGTTTTTCTTGGATCTGGTGATTTCAGGTGTAATTTTGACTTGGAAAACAAGTGCAATGCTGCAACTGTCCCTTAAGTGTTGCCACAACCCTTTTCTTCCACGAAGGG